TCCCTTACATGCCTGCCCTCACCTGTGCAATGATTTTCTAGTCCCTATACCTTAAGCCCCAAGCTAGAGCCCTTCAATTCTGTTTCTACAATCTCCTACAGAACCTTCTGGCCCCAGCCTCACTAGTCCCAAATGCACTCCCACCCTTGTCTCCCTGGACACATTCTACCTCCAGTGACACGGGACAGGCCCGCATCCTACCTGCTGCCACGGAGGTCGTGGAAGGGAACCCTCTGTTCCATCAACAGTTCAAAACACATCAATAGCTTGTGAACATCGGGGACAGAGGAAAAGATCCAAACTGGCTCACGGAACTGCTGGCTGTTTTCCTCCATTTTCTGAGAAGGTGCTAAGAGCACGAGAGTTGTGTAGTTGCTTGCTGTGTGGTCAGAGCACAAATGGAATTCAGCTACCTGGATAACCCAAAGGGCCCCGATGCCCCCACCTGAGCCACTTGCAAGGTCGTTCTTTCAGCAGGTGTTTCCTGAGTGACTGATACTGAGGGCAAGACATTTTATACCCAGCATATGATGTGACTGAGGGAGGAACCAACTCCTGGCAGCTGACTTAACCATGTCTGAGGGAGGAACCAGATCCTGGCATCTGACTTAACCATGTCTGAGGGAGGAACCAGATCCTGGCATCTGACATAACCATGTCTGAGGGAGTAACCAGCTCCTGGCATCTGATATAACCATGTCTGAGGGAGGAACCAGCGCCTGGCATCTGACATAACCATGTCTGAGGAAGAAACCAACTCCTGACATCTGACACAATCATGTCTGAGGGAGGAACCAGATCCAGGCATGTGATGTTATCATGGATGAGGGAGGAACTAGTCCCTTGCATATGAGGTGACCATGTCTGAGGAAGCAACCAGTTCCTGGCATATCACGTGGCTGTGTCTGAAAGAGAAACCAGCTTCTTCTGTGTGCTGTGACCATGTGTGGGAGAAGAAACGGTCTACAGCGTGTGACATGACTGTGCGTGATTTGTTGGTCACAACACTTAGAGTGAGTCTGTCATACCAATGTTACTGTCACTGTCCTCCCATTGTTCATTGATTTGCTTGAGCGGGCCCAGTAACATCTCCATTGTGACAATTGTTACTGTGTTTGGCATATCGAATACGTCACAGGTAGCTTGCCAGGCTTTGCCGTGCAGGCGAGATACTCTCGGTAGCTTGCTGGGCTCTCCGAGAGGGGCAGAGGAATCGAACTAGGGTTGGCCATGTTGGCCACTTGCAAGGCAAATGCCCTACCTGCTGTGCTATCGCTCCAGCCATCATACCGATGTACAGACCAAAACTACCTCACTCACAGACAGATGAAATGAGTGGACACAAGCCAAAATGGGAAAGTCGAAAAGAGAGCTACCTCACCTGGTAAATGCAAACCAGGGAAGACTTTCCAGAATCTGGAAGGAGAGTCTGAAACAGTGAGGAGGGGTGTGGAAAGCTGCAGAGGAAAAGGCTCACATGGGGTCATGAATACTGAGGAGAGAGTTCACTGAGCAGGTGGAAGTGACTTCTGAGTAGAAGAAAGTGGAGTGGCTCTGGGGTTGTACAAAAAAACCATTAGGAGTAGAACTAAAGAGATAACTTCTGGAAAGCACGGTAAGGACAATGGGGGAATCAGCCGATGGTTATCCAGCTTAGCAGGCAACAATGATGAGTTTCTTCTCACTGAAACAGAAAACGCAGGAGGGAGATAGCGAAGGATGAGTTCAAGTTTGAAAACTACGAAAACATATACTCTCTGGGACATGCCAAAAAAGGAATCAGCAGGAAGCTGGACACGTGAGCCTAGAGCTGTGGCCTGGATAGGAAACGCGGGTTTGGACAGCACAATAGGACAGATGGCACTGGAAACACAGGCTTGCTCAGGGCACTGAGTAAGAAGTCGGAGGAATAAGGAGGACAAGATGGCAGGATAAAGAGTAGGGGAGAGAGGTGAGGGAGGAGGGGAGGGAGGAGGGAAAGAAGAGGAGAAGGGAGGGAGAAGGGAGAGAGAAAAAGAGAGAGGGAGGGAGGGAGGCAGGAAAGGAGAAAGAGAGGGGAAGAGGGGAAAGAGAGGGAGGGAGAGGTGGAAGAGAGAGGGGGAGAGAGAGGAGAAAGGGAGAGAGGGAAGAGAGAGAAGGGAAGGAGAGAAGAGAAAGAGAGAGGGACTTCATAGAAATAGAAGACATAGTTGAAACAGTCCAAAATGAGCCATTCTTGAGAGGGGTGAAGGAAGATGACAGTCATGCCCAGGAATGGCTGAGATTAGTACCAGGAATTTTGCTCCATGACTTGAAGGCCAGCCACACGTGCTAGGTGAAAAGGAAGCTCAGATAGAGAAGAGAGCACCAAATAAAGGGTGTTGTGAGACCCTCCCAGGGTGGGAGAAGCATGCTAAAAGCAGTCTATAGACCAAACATGATTGCCACTCAATGCCTCTCTTGCAAACCACAGGACCCAAAAGAAGAAAGAGAGAACAAGGGGGAAAGCCCTGCCACAGCGGCAGGGTGGGATGGGGGGTGGGAGGGATGCTAGGACCCGTGGTGGGGGAGGATGGGCACTGGTGGAGGGATGGGTACTTGATCATTGTATAACTGAAACCCAAGCACAAAAATTTATAAGTCTATAACTGTACCTCATGGTGTTTCACTAATAAAAAATGATTAATAAAAAAAAATGTTCGTTGTATTTGACAACCGGCAGCTATTTGTGAGCAGAACAAGACTCAGGCCAGTCAGAAAAGGCCAGGTGAAAATGATCCTGCATTGTGAGTAAGAGGCCGAACCTCAGGGCGACACATGCAGACGGTGAAAGCTTGGAGCTGCACGTCAGCCAGATCTCTAAGGAGCACTGACTCACAAACGGCTGCAAGCCAACAAAGAGAATGGATTTGTTTTGCTCTGCTATTTTTTCCAGTAAGAGAAACTTAAAGATATTAACGAGTTGAACCCTGCAAGTTCATTCCCCCATCTGCACAAGGGGGAGCAGTCACAACACCCCCTTTGCTTGATCCACTGAGGTGTCTGAGCAAATCAGGTGACAAGATGCCGAGTGACTGATTCTGAAGGCGACAGCTAGACCGACGTTATTATGTATTTGTAAATGCTGAAAACATGGAGTGATAAAATGAGTCCAGTGAAATATGGTCGGCCATAAAAATCAATAAACAGTTATTATCAGTTCAAAACCAGAAACAGTAAGAAAATAATTGGATACACACTGCAAGTTGCTGACCCCAGATCTGAGAGACTGGCCACAAAGTTCTGTGTCTTCAGCCAGAAAGAATTATTCTGGGGCTCCTAGATCCAGGCCGAGTTTCCAGATGTCTTCATCACAGCAGCAAAAACAAATGCCCAGGACCCCTGGCAGAGGCTGTGCACAGAGTCATCTGGGAATTTATTCATCTTGCAAGCAGTGGTTCTTAAGTAAATATTTCTGGCAACCACCCAGTTTTGCAAATCAGCACACCAGCTCCATAATTTAGGTCTCCTGACCAGTGGAATCGGGGGAATGGCCACAGTTTGCTGAGTCTGTTTTTCTGAGGGGTGACTGAGGCATTCTGGGAAGTCAGAGAGCCAAATTAATGGGAAGATATAACACCCAAAAGAATATGGTCAACTCATTACTTCATGAGCCATGGAACCTTTAAAGACTCCACAAAGAACATTATTTTTAGCCCCCCTGGCATCAGTAGAACTAGTCTTTCTCTTCTAAAATTTTTGCCAAGTGGTTCTATCATCTATCATCTATCATCTCCTGAGCTGGGATGATTATCTATCTCCATAAAAGAAAATGTCCCTTTCGTCTGTTGTTCTGGAGAAATTCCTTTATTTATTTATTTTTTTGGCTTTTTGGGTCACACCCTGCAATGCTCAGGGGTTACTCCTGGCTCTGAACTCAGGAATTAGTCCCAGCAGTGCTTGGGGGGACCAGATAGTAAGCCAGGAATTGAATCCGGGTCAGTCACGTGCAAGGCAAACACCCTACTCACTGTACTATTACTCCGGTCCTGGACAATTCTCTTCTACCTTGGTTACCTGGGAGCTGACAGCTCCTTCTTGGTTACTGTATTTTCAAGATTTCAGGGTGATAATTAAGGCTAAGCAGTGTCGTCTCTGGCTCCAAAGAGAAATTGTGCAGAACAAACTTCTTGTGTGATAGATATGAAGGACCAAGTCTACATATCAAAAGAAACCCCACTGGCAATTACCTTTTCATAAATAAATAAATAAATCTTAGAAAGTCTGCACTACTGTCCTAAAACGGTGCTTGTTTTGTACACATTTTTCAAATATTTCCTTGTTTAATGTGTGGCAATGCCCTAGGCATTGATTAAACTCCACAGGTCATTTTTAGAGCTTTTCTCTGTGGTAAAGCTGGATTTCACCCTGGGATAGACACTTCATCCCGAGGTCCAAGGCACAAAACCAATCGCAGGATGCTCTCCAACACACTGAGGAATAATTCAGCCTTTCCGAGTGCACATCCTCAGCCTTCCAACTGAGGAGTTTTCACACGTCACCTTCGCCCATGACTAGAAGGTGACAACAAGGCCTTGAACTTGAGCACAGACCCTGGGCCACGCGGCACTTGGAAACAGAGCCAAATCAATGTGAACGGGCTCTGTCCCCCCACCACAGGCTCGTTTACACCCCATGGGGACCCCATCATATGTTCACATTGGAAGCAAAGTTCAGTATGCTCTGCCCCCTCCAAGCTCCTGGGAAACACACACACGTGCTCTGTCCTTGGTCTAGCGGCATGCACCCAAGAATGCAACATCCAAGGAACAGGGGCACCTTCCCATCCAGCAGGGCCCGGAGACTTCTCAGGAAGAGGTGGAAGGGCAGGAAGAGCATCACCCACGCGAGGGCAGCGTGCAAGTGGGGAAGGCGCCAGACAGCCGGCTTCCCTGGGACCCTCGTGTCTGTCTCTCCCAAGTGCCTCCTCTTTCAGGCAGCCCTGGGTTGGGCAGGATCTTCCAGCGGGTACCATGACTCACCTGTAGATGGAGAGGGGCGTCACTGAGCGCACAAGGGCCGCCACAGCCCCCACTTCGGCAGCTTGCACAGCGCCCCGTGCGCGGTACTTGACGCTGTCCTGGTAGCTGACGAAGGGCTGGTTGTACACAACAATCTTTCCACGGGCTTCCAGGGCCCTTTTATGCAGCTCGTCAAAGGAATTCACCACCAGGACTTGGGCTGTGATACCTGGAAATAAAAGTCACACAAGAGAGCACCAAATAAAGGGTGTTGTGAGACCCTCCCAGGGTGGGAGAAGCATGCTAAAAGTAGTCTATAGACCAAACATGATTGCCACTCAATGACTCTCTTGCAAAACACAGGACCCAAAAGAAGAGAGAGAGAACAAGGGGGAATGCCCTGCCACAGAGGCAGGGTGGGCCGAGGGGGATGGGGGTGGGAGGGATGCTGGGACCCGTGGTGGTAGAGGATGGGCACTGGTGGAGGGATGGGTACTTGATCATTGTATAACTGAAACCCAAGCAGAAAAGTTTATAAGTCTATAACTGTACCTCATGGTGTTAAAAAAATAATAAATATTTTGAAGCTATGAAAAAAAAAGTCACACAGGGCAACTTACCCTGAAGGCCATCAACCCCTCTGGCAAGATCAAAGTTTCAGAGTCATTTGCCTTGGGAGAAAGATCGTGCTTCCCAAGGGGGAGAAAAGACATTCAACATAATCGGGCAGAGACTCATCATGTTTTTCAATTCGACCAGCTGATATTAAATCACAGATTACTTGAAAATATAGTCCCCCCCCTCTTTTCCACCCTCAGAAGGCACGAGTTGCACAGACTGACACTAATTGTTTATAAAGCAAACACATTTTAGAAAGCTCCCCTTGGGATTAAAGGAACCCATATTTATCTCTTAATAAAACTATTTTGATCTGTTGCTAAACAACCCACATTGACAACAGACAAAGGATGACAGTTTGTGAAGAACATTCCTCTTCTTCGAGGTCAACCATTTCCATAAATTCAACTTTTAACAAGTGGTTAATGGGCTCTCTCCCAGCAAGAGACAGCATGTTCGCTTTCCTCCTACAGGACTTCTTCAGCATGTGGAAACCACCCACTTCATGCGACTTCATCACCACCAAAACACATCGCTGCTCTGGAGATGGGAATTCCCAAGATCTTGTGCAACTGACCCGTAATCTCATTGCCCACACAGGGTACACAGGGTACCACTGGAGGCCCCGGTCAAGAAGCGCTTGGTGTTTCCCAGTGTGTAACAGTCTTGGCTGAACTTTTCCACACCTCAGGAGAGACAAAGCAAGTTCCATTTCCTGAGAAGTCTCAAGGTGGGGAATATCTCTTTGAGCTCAGCTGCTCACTTATCCTTGACAGATAAGTGCGATGGAGAGGGTGGACTGTTCACCTTCACAGGATACTTACCTACAGACTTGTAAGAGATGGTTGGGAATGGCCCAGAGAGAGGAGAATGGAGACCAGGTGGTAATCAGTGGGACCTGCCTTCCCCCATAATCTGAATTCAGTCTAAGGGCATGGATTTGGATGAAGTTGGTTGTTCAGGGTCCACGTTGGCACGGCAGCACTTTCTCAGGTCGTTCAACCCAACCACTTAAACGCAGCAGAAGGAAAGGGAAACTTCTGCTGGGCACCATTAAGGGTTTGTTAACCCCCAGCAAATGCTTCAGCAGAAAAAGCTATGCGAATAGCTACACTCATGCTATGGGAACCACTGTTTCAAGTTTCTGGAAGCTACATGGGCCATCTGTGACCCTTGAACCATATCAGAGAAACCACTATCCTATCCACCCTCCTGAAGGACAGGTTAAAAAAAATGAAGCATTTGCGAATTTCCCAGGACACTGACTATCAACGATGTTCAAATACTTAATTTTTCTTAAATTCTGTCTGTTTAAATGCAAGGAACCAAGAGGCGAAAGGTAGCTAATATGTTCAGAGGATTTCTCATCGAATGCGTAAGCACTGGTGTAAGTAGCCGATGCAGAGATCTTGACAAGCCCCAACCCAGGAGTCCTCTGGCCCTGGGGGTCAGGCATCACTGCTCTTCAGACTCCTGGTGGGGACAGGAGGGCTTGGCCTAGGTCACCTAGTTTGGTGTGTTGCGGAACCAAGAGGCCAACTCAGAAATATCTCCTGGATACCATCTGCTCCAAACATAGTAAAGGTGTTTAGAACACAACAGTCCTTCCAACGATTGGTCCAGCCCCAGTGAACTAACCCTTGTAGGAACTACCAGAGGCCTAATTTCCAGCTTACCAAATGCCTTCGAGGCCATCCCTGCTAAGATCATTAGCTTAGTATCTTACTTAGCCGTGTCTTTACTATGTGCCATGTGGCCTGAAGTCTGGCATCCTGGAAAGTGGCTTGTGAGTGGCCCTCAAACCTAGACTATTATGTCCTCCCTCTTTATTTCAGTGATTCGGAGAGTGCTCATTTCATGATCTCTGCCAGCAGGCTGACTTCACAGTCTCTGTGGTGAAGATTTCATCAAAGGGCTGGAGAGTTAGTTCATGAGCTACTTGCCTTGCATGTGGCTGACCACGGTTCAATCTCTGGCACTGTGTCTGATCCCCTGAGCACCACCAGGAGTGATTTTACGCACAACGCCAGAAATAAGCTCTGAGCGAAGTCTGGTGTGGTCCCAAAACCAATGGCACCCACAAAGACTTCACTGTAAGAAGAAGATGACCAGGCATTTATATACTCTTATAATGTGCCAAATATATTCTTCTACAGGTCTTATTCATATGAGTGCCTAATTTCTCAACAAGATCTATATGGTAGCTACTTCCACTAATACAATTAGACAAAGGGCATTTTATTTCTATAACAGCATTTTTTACTTAGTTTTTGCTTACTTGATCTTCCAACGAATTTGAAGAACTTTGAAAAAGACATTGAAAATCAGAATTTAAAAAATAGATAAAATAATAAAATCATAGTGATAATATAAAAGGTAAAAGGTAAAGGCCCTCCCGTTGATCGTCGATTTGCTCGAGCAGGCCCAGTAACGTCTCCATTGGAGACTTTGTTGTTACTGTGTCTGGCATATCGAATACTCTCGGTAGCTTGCCGGGCTCTCCGAGAGGGGCGGAGGAATCGAACTCGGGTCGGCCATGTTGGCCGCTTGTAAGGCAAACGCCCTACCTGCTGTGCTATCGCTCCAGCCCAGTGATAATATAGCAGGACTTAAAATAATACACACCATAAGATTTGTGCAGGTAGGTGAGAGGACCAGAAATTTAGCTACAAAGTAGCTGGCAAAGGAAGCAAAGGGTAAGATATAATCAGGCACAAGCTTTAGAATCCGTTGAGAAAACAGGCCTGGGGCTGGAATGATAGTACAGCTAGTAGCTAATAGGCCTTTTGCCTTGTCTATGACCAATCCCATTTCAATCCCCAGTACTCCATATGGTCCCCAAGCCCTCCAGGAGAGATGTCTGGGTGCAAAGTCGGAAGTAAGCCCTGAGCACCACTGGGTGTGCCCGCCACCCTAGCAAAACAAAACAAAACAACTCAGGTTTGTTGCTGGGAAGCCTAAGCTCATGCCCAGAAATCTGCTCTATGGACAATGGCATATAAAAATGGGCAGGAGTTCATTCTACCATGGGAATGAACTCACCATCCATTTTCTCCCGTGTCCTCTGTCTTTGCATTCACCTGACTTACAATTCACTGTGTGTGATGGTGAAAATGAATTCACCATCCATTTTCTCCCGTGTCCTCCGTCTCTTTTAGTAACAGGACCTTTTGCTACAGCTGAGAACTGGGACGATCTTGAGAGAAAGGAAAATTCCCAACTTCTCTGCAGCTCAGTGCAGCCAAGGGACTGTACCCCGACCCCTGCACTGCTCGCTGGAATGCAGGGGCAGATGCTGGAATGCATCTCAGACACTGAGGCAGGCATTTGAGCTCCCAACTCGGGGAGCAGAGGCCTCTGCAATGGACATATCAGAGACAGAAGCACTGGTTTTGTTTAGGCCTCGGTGATTTGGGGGTTCTCTTTGCTCTGTCATTCCTAGCAAAGCGGAAAAGAACATTCACCAAGTGAATGCTTCAAGTGGATTTGCAAAGGCAGCCAAGGATGGGGTGGTGATTTTTACTGGCAGGAAATCCCTGCAGGACACAGATGAGAGAATTCTTGCAGGAAGCATTGGCACTCACGGCCTCAGAGGACAGAGGGGTTCAAAGGCCGAGCCCTGCTGATGGAGACACCAGCACAAAGATTTCACAGCAGAGGGAAAGTAGCTGGATTCAATGACCATCTTAGAAATAAAATCATTTTTCCTGCAAATGATTGATCACAGGATGAGAGAATGGAAGATGATGAGAAATGGAAAAAAAAAAAGTTACAAGATTATTCTTTGTCAAAAATTTAGGCCACTTGGGCCCAGTCCAGAGAGAGGTAACTCGAAGGGCTGAGAGCATTCTCTGCATGCTCTAATTCCCTGCCCGGCTCTAATTATGGCACCCCAGGGAGCGTTGGGAGTGAGCCCCGAGCACAGGGTCAGGAGTAACCTCCGAGAGCCGCCACATGGGGTCCAGCCATAATCCCCCACAGCACAGGTCTTAGAGTGAATGTATGTTCCTTATTGTCAACTCTGTCACTGTCACTGTCCTCCCGTTGTTCATCGATTTGCTCGAGCGGGCCCAGTAACGTCTCCATTGGAGACTTTGTTGTTACTGTGTCTGGCATATCGAATACGTCATGGGGAGCTTGCCAGGCTCTGCTGTGCGGGCAAGATACTCTCGGTAGCTTGCCGGGCTCTCCGAGAGGGGCGGAGGAATCGAACTCGGGTCGGCCGTGTTGGCTGCGTGCAAGGCAAACGCCCTACCGCTGTGCTATCGCTCCTTGTCAACTCAAGGAAGAGCAAACATAGAGACGAGAGATCTGAGATCATCATGCACAATTCAGACTAAAGGCAACACGTGTGCAAGTTGAGGCCACCTACTTTGGGGGGGGCTGGTTCAGACATGTCTCAGAAGATCCAACACTGGCAAAACAGTAATGAGGTCCCCAGAGGTACTGGGCAGAATCTGAGTGAGAAGACATCATCCTATCCTCAAGGAACACAGAACTGATGTGAAATATGTAAACTGAACATATATATGGGCCGGAGAGATAGTACAACAGACAGGAAATTTGTCTTGTATACAGCCAACCCAGGCTTAATCTTGGGCCTCTACATGG